CACCATCATTCCTAGGCTAGAGACCCTTTCTACCACCCCACCGCCCCTTCCCTGAATGCCTGCTGGGGACCCTGTAGCCCTCCACAACACCTCTCCACATCACTGCCTGCTCCCGGGAGTTCGGCACATCCTCCAAGTATCCCTTTCCCCCTCACCAGCCCTACTTCTTTCCTCTCTGTCTGGGAGATCAGTCACAGAGGGTGTCAACACGTCCAACTCTCCAGGGAGGATGGGGAGCGCGGAGCTGGGGGTGTTGTTGTGCTGCAAGGAGGCAAAGCTGCCACGAGCAGCCGCTTTGATCTGCAGACAATTACAGACGAGTGTCGGACCCCGCTTCGCTCAGCCAATAAATAATGGAACTGGCGCGTTGACACAGACAGATTCCCCCCAAACTGTCAGCAAAAGGGAGATGAGGAGGGAGCAGAGAGGGAGGCAGAGTGACGGGAGGAAAGGGAAGAGGAGCAGGGAGAGGAGGAGGAGGTCCTACGGGGAAGTGGAAGCAAGGGAGGAAGGCATGAGTTTGGGGAGGCCCTGCTGATGGGGGCAAAGGGATAGGGAGAAGGAGCATGTGGAGAAAGGACAGTGTTGAGGAACCGGTATTTGTGGAGGGGAAAGAAAATCAGGCAGGAAATGTGGGTAGCGAGGAGAAGGGGGGGATGTTCCCACAGTGGGTTGGAAGAGGAGGTGGGGAAAATGTGAAGGTGGAAAAGCAAGAGGGGGAACAAAGGCCAGGCAGTGCCCCTGGGCTTCCAGCTGCCTGCGAGCTCGCACACTCTCCAGGGCAGGGAGTGTATTCCTGCTCTGGATGTGTGGCGCTCTGCAGCGGTGCCCTGATCCCCCCCTGGCTCCCCGTGCCGCAGCAGAGGCAGCGGGAACGCGCATGTGATTTGGTCAAATGATTGCCCTGGTGCGCAGCCGGCAGCAGCAACGTGCCCTGAGATCACGACTCTCCAAGAGGGCTCCCATGGACACGCTGTCCCCATGTCCCCTCTCCCCTGCTCCCTCCCTCCCTTCTTCTCCCCGTCACCCTCCCCATTCTTACCCTTGCCCTCATCCTTCTCCAGCCCAAAGCTGTTTGTTCTCTGGCTGCTGCTGGTTTTTACTTTCATCAGAACAAAGAAACTGCCTCCATCCTGCTCGTGTATCCTGCCACCAGTCTCCCACACTCATGAGCCCTTGCACCAGGCCCAGGAGAAAAGCTCCTTCCAGCAACCCACCAGCTGAACAGCTCTGCCAAGGCAGGATCTCCACTGGGGCCTGAGTCCTCCCCATTCAGAGCACTCACAGGGACCATCACTTCCCTCTCAGCTCCTTTGCTGCCCTCTGCTCTTCCTTTCTTGGGGATGCAGATTCCAGATGGCACTTGGGCTGTTGCCCTTGCTGTTACTTGGCGGGTTCTCCCCCAGGAACAAGTTCCTCTCCTGGGGGAGGAAAATCAGGACAGGTCACATCCCTGGAGCTGGTTGGGTTGAGGACCACCCTGCAAGGCTTGCAGTGGGGCTCAGCTCGTGCTGGGAGGATGCAGAGATGGGAGCAGTGGAGAGTTGACTGATGGGAGCCCCCATAGCCTGGCCCTGCCTCCATCCTCTTCCTCCCTCTCCAGAGCCAGGGTTTGTTGGTAGATCCACCCAGCATCATGTTAATGGGTCAAAGTAGAGCAGGAGGGTGGTTTTATGAGGATGTCTCCCATGGAGGTGATTTAGCTTAATGAGGGTGAATAACAAGAGCTGCCTGCCACCTAAGTGGGGCAGCGTGAGCGTAGGGCCTGAGTGCTGGGAAGACCTAAGCCTCTGAATGGCAGTTTAGTCGGGGAGAAAGGCAGGGGGGGCGGTGGGCAGGAAATGGGTGCAAATTGCTCTCCAAGCTGGTCTTCCAGTGTCAACACTGCAAATAAGGTCCTTGTAGCAGCTCCCTTCCACTCTACCCAGGGATGCAGGGGACCAGGATGGGACCCCCCCATCTCCTACATCTCTGTAGGTCTCTGGTGCAGCATCAAACCCGATTATTTGTTGCTACGGTGAGAACTGCGCTGGATCCGGCTGCCACTGCTCTGGTCATGAGTGTGGTCGGAGAAGTGGGACAGGCCCAGGCAGGACAGCAACAGAGGGCAGGGGGCTCAGAGCAACCCTCTGATGCTGCATGTGGCGGGACTCACGTCTTCCCTCCCCCAGGGATGAGTACAGGGAATGTCTGGGAGAGAAGAAGTGGCATGAGTAAAAGAGATTTGTGCTTTCTCTGGGGTTTGCGGTGATGCTTGAGCGCTTCCCCAAGCACCACCATCAATATTTAATTTCACGGAGTGGGGATAGACTCCCTCAGGGTGACCAGAGTCCCCAGCTTGACTGGGGCTGTACAACATACATAGAGGTCTGATGTCATCCTTATGGGGTTGAGGAGCTGCACGCTGCGAAGAACCATTCCACGGCCAGGCAGTGGACCCTGCACTGAGACTGAGCACCAAGGTGGCTCCAGGCCACATCCATTTCTGGCGAGATAAGACCCTGGCCTGGATGTGGGAGAAGGAGAAATGTCCCCCCAGGGAAGAGGGAAGGTGGAAGGAGCGGGCACAGAGCATGCCGGGTATTTAATGGCAAGGAGAAATAACCAGCAGAGGTGCAAAACTGGACCCAGCCACCTCCCAGATAAAACCCAAAGCCCATGAAGGCCCAACTCCCCTCCCCAGCTCAGCATGAATCCAGGAGAGCTTGTGAGGAGTCACAGACAGTCACTGCTGCAGTACCGGGGTAGCAAGCAATGGGTTTAAGCTGTAGGAATAAGCAGCCCTGGGAGTGAAGGGTTAATGCAGAGTGTGCGGGGACCCTTATCTGCCTCTTCTCTAAATATTATTTCCTCCCATGAAACCAGCTTTTCATCCTTGGCTAGAGGCAGCTCCCGCTGCTGGGAATCCAGCTTGTATCGCTGCTCCTGCACACGCTGCTGCTCCCAGCGAGTGGCCGAGACAAAGCTCAGCGCCCTGGGAGCGAGCGGCCCCAGCCACGCGCGGGGTGCTGGTGCGTGGAGGCAGCTCCGGCCCAGCAGATGCTGATGGCCTTGGGCTTGGGGTTGGATAAAAGGCTTTTAGTGAAGGCTGGGGAAGAAGCGTGGTAATGAAAGCCCTGTTCCCAGCCCGCTCTGCGTGGATTTCCTCCTACTCCTCCTCGTCTTCATCAGGGCACAGAGCAATGGAGAGCAGCAGGCAGAGAGGGAATGGGACTTCCAAAAGGCTGAGGTCGCCCCATATAGGCCTGAGCTCATCAACATGAAGCTGCTCCATTTTGTCTATCTCCCTCTGGAAAGGATGGAAGGATATTTGGAAGCAGGGGAAGCTGGGCTGCCCCTTTTGCACCTCTCCCCTTGAGTGTACGGGAAGGAAGGAGCTGCTCCCCGGGGAAACTGAGGCAGCAGCCCTGAACACTGCTCCACGGTCACAAAGCAGGGAAGCTGAAGGGTGCAAAGCAGCCTCTGTTGCATGGCAGCTCCCAGCCCAAAGCGAATTCATTCAGGCTGCAGCGTGGGCCCGTTTGGCTGCAGATTTGGGGCCCGGGGTAAAATGACTGCTGTTAAATCTCATCTGAAACAGCCCAAAGTTTTTAATGTGCGTGAAACGGCGCCGCGGCAGCCTGCCTTCCGCACCCCGGAGGGCACAAAAGCGCAAGCGGCTCCTCTCTCCCATTCAGCCCGAGCCACGTGCAGTCTGAGCAGCGCCAGGTACGTGGCTGGAATGAAAGTCGCCTCTCGAGCCCGGGTGCTGAGGGAGGGGTTGCCGAAGTCAAAGACTTGCCGAGTTGAAAGGGTCAAATCTCCAAGGACAGTTGTATCTGACTGGCTATATATCATTTCAATGGCATCTTCAATGGGGATTATAATCTGAATTGAAGTGGAAAGACCCGAGGCAATGAAGCTGTCAGCAGTCTAAGATTAAGGAATTAAAACAGCAGCAAAGCATTATAGGATTTGTTTTTGGCATATTGTAAAGAGGTGGCTCAAAACACTTCAGCCTTTCTCGGGTAGCAGATTTCATAAAGGTACAGAGAAGGGCAAGAACAAGGATCCCATCAATATACATGAAAGAGCAGGAGCAGAAAGGGAGACTCAGAGCTACGAAGACCCAGCCGCACAAAACGCAAAGCTCGACTGGAGATGAAGTAATTCACACAAGGTTGAACTGAGGTAAAGAAAATGTAGCAATGAAGGGGATTTAGGCGAGGGCAGAGGCAAAATGACGCTCAAAAGATGGGAAAGAAACGGGCCTTCATATAGGGGACAGTAAATTCTGGCACACAACCTGGTCCGTGCTGGGATTCCCTAATGGAAACGGAGATCCCCAGCTGCGTCCCCCCCCTCTCCCAGTTTTACACACAGCTCCAGCACTGCTTCAGAAAGCAAAGAACAAGGGCAACCGCGTGCACAGGGCAGTTTGCAACTGAGCAAGGATCCGCCGAGGGCTGGGGCGGGCGACAAGCGCTGCCTTCGCCTGCATCAAGCGCCCCAGGGGAGCAGCGCCAGCTCTGCAGATCTCGGGAGACGCCAGCCCCTCTTCTCGGTGACGTGCGGAAGCTCCCAAACCAAAACCAAGCAGAAAAGCAATCAAACTCCCATTGACGGGCCAATTAAAACTATCAATTTATTGACTTTTTGGCGAGTTGCACACACTTTTTTTTTGCCATTTGCTCTCTCCTAGCTCAGTCCTGGGGAGGAACTTCTCCCTTGGATTAAAGACGCCAGAGTTACGCCATGAAATGCAAGGAAAAACAGAAAAGTAAAACAGATTCCTTACTGATAAAATACACAGGGAATTTCAGCAACTCAGATTCCAAGTGGCCACCAGGTCTGCTCAGCAGCAGCCGTAGGGGCTCAGGCTGTACAAATCAGCACCGCTCAGTGTGGCACCTCAGCTACACGATCCCAGAAGAAACCGAGTCGCTCCCTGCACCCTGGACACACAGGCCCAAAGCAACCGGACCCATGTGACAACCAAAATAATTCTGAGTGATGCTGTGTGTACAGAACCGCAGTACTTTATTGACCCCAAAACACACCCGGCAGAACAGTTCCCTGCACACACAAGGCCACAGAGCACAGTGACAGGAGGCCAGATCTAGGACACAGAAGAAAATGGGAAGCTAATGGCAGGCGCAGTGTGTTCTGTAGCACAGGTTGAGCGTGGGATTGGTTTCCAATTCCTCCAGCCCCCTCCTACTGGGAGATTTACATACAAGTCCTCAACCAAGTCTTTTAAGGAGTTATCCAGAATCCCCTGGTTAAAAACAATCTGTTTCAAAAAAAGAGGAGAGTCCAGAGCTGCTCAATGATTCTTTTTGGTTGAACCAAAACCAGAGAAACCCATCACAGCTGCCATTTCATCGTCCTCTTCAAACGTCAAGTCTTCCTCTGCCCTTCGTTTCTTCTCTCTCTGCTTCTCCTTTTTGTAGGCTTTGGCCTTTTCCTCCTGCAGTGACCAAAAAAAAAAAAAAAAAAGAGAGAGAAAGAGAGAGAGAGATGAAATTCCAAGTAATGGGAACCTCCTTAGGTGACCAAGCTTTTGGGACTCTGGGAACTGCACAGGTATCCCAAGACCTACCCAGAACCCAAAATGTATCCAAGGAAACATAACAGCCAGAGGAAACCACGGGCTGCAGTCTCCTGGGAGGTCTCCCAGCATCTCTAGACCATGAGAGTGAAATCACACACACAGCAGATGTGGTCAGAGAGAAGTGCCATGAAATTGTCAGCTCCTGCCTCACAACAGATGTCAGAGGCTTCATTGGAGTCAACATAGAGGCAGGAAGGAGCCTTGTAAAGCAGCAGGTGATTCCCTGGTACCCACGCCCTGTCCCAATGGCTGCGGTGCCCAGTGTCGCTGCCTGACACCTTCCTGAGTGGCGGAGTGACAGCTGGAGCAGGCGTCGAGCACCCAGCGGCTGCGGGGGTTTTGCCATCGAAGCATTTGCACCGTTCCCACGATGGGATCGCGGGCCGGGAAACGGCACCCGCCTTGCACCAGGTCGAAGGTCAGCTCCGGCTCCCAATTTAGCATCATTCCCATCGCAGTCCGCGGACGGCAGCCGTGCAGAGAGCTACAGCCCAAAGCTGCTGCTGATTTCCTCGCTGCCACCGACTGGCAGTGGCTTTTCAGCCCTCCCTGCACCGCTGGGACACCCGTCTCCTACCTCCTCCAAACGGATTAGACCAAAGGCTGCTGCAGACAGAGCCCAGGGCTGCTTTTTGTACTAGGCCTCCAGCAGCAGCAGCCCTAACGGGGCCGCCAGCTGTGCAGCAAAGCCCAGGGCTCAGGCAGAGAGGCTCAAACAGGCAGCAGTTTTAATATTTGGCTTTTAAATGACCGCTGATCAAAGAGAAGCATCCCCAGAAGCTCCCCAGTGCCCAGGAGAACATTGTCAGCTGCCTTCCCAATGAATTCAATCTTCGTTTCATGAAGCTGCCCTTTAAGCCCAGATTTGGGAGAGCTTTGGCATCTCCCACATCCCTCACAAGCCTCTGCCCCGTTTTGGGAGGACACATGCAGAAGCAACCCCAATAAGCCCAGAGATCGTGAGGAGCTTCCGGACAACAGGGGACAAACACACAGATCCGGGAATCTAAGCTCAAACGTGAGAGAAAACCCAGGGCCCTGTCAGAGCTGCACTGCTCTCAGTGGGGGGCAGAAGCATCAAAAGCAACTCTTGTACATGAAGAGGGAAGAGGATCCCCAAGGAGACTGGCAGAAAATTAAAGAAAACCAGAACAACCCAACCAACCAAACTGAAAGCCGCATACCAGAGGCCCATGCTATCAAGAACAAGATTTCCATTGAACAGTTAGGAAATGGCGCTGCTTTCTTTAGGAAACCTGTTTTTGGGGGGCCCCTGGGTGAGTAGTGTGTTGTCATGCAGACTCACCTCCTCGCGGAGCTCCTTCATCCTCTCCTCAAAGTCATAGTCCTTCTGCTTCTCCTCCATCTTCTTCTTATTCACCTCAAAGCGTTTTTTCACCTGGTCCAGCGTGGAGCGCTCCACCCTCATGGACATGCCCAGGTTCCTCTGGTCTAGAGGGAAAGGAACGGAGCCAGCCACATTCAGCCTGAAATTTGGTGCACAGTCTCTCCCTCGACTCCAGTTTGGTACCTTGACATGGCATCATCCTGCTGCTTGCCTCCCATCCCCTTAAAACAGCCTCTCTTGACACACTAAGCTCAGGCACAGGTTGCTCATGGTTCATTCAGCCCAGAAGCTGCTCCTGCCAACTCGACCTACCTGCACTGGATCCCAGGCCAAAGGGCAAGCAAACAACCACCAAAAGTGCAGGCAGCAGTTTCATCACTCATGTTTCTGTGTGGCACTAGCACAACACTCTACAACCACCCAACCTTCGGTATGCAGATCCACAACATGTATGAACAGCCCGGAGAAACCCTCTACATCAATCAACCCCCCAATAAGCACCCATAAAAATTGTCCTTACGTTTTTTGCCATTGATGTGATCCAAGAAGTTAATGGAGTCTTTCACCACACAGTCGCACACGTTGCAGTAGTACCTGAAAGGAGAAAGGGAGAGGCATCAGCTCCAAAACATAGGACAAACTTTGCTGGGGACAAGCAACTGATTAAGAACCTCTGAAATGTAAAATCCACACGCTTTTTGGACCCACTGCTTCTAACCCAGACTGCTGCTCTAGGGACAGAGCAATGGCCCAAAGCCAAAATTCCCCTCTCCATTACACAAGTAAGCGCTTCCATCCCTGTGCTCTGCATGGGGCCATTGGGCATTGCTGGCTACTTGGCTGTGCCAGTGAGTCACTCCCAGGCTTATTCTTAGAATAGCACAACCTTAAAGCAGATTTTTAGCTGCTCAGTGGCTTAGAACGAGCTCAAAACGCTTGCAGCACTTGGCCAAGCACAAGCCTCATGAGCAGCAACCAAACGCTGTTCGTGCAACGAGGCCTCTGGCTGATTCTCTCATTCCCAGCACAAGGATATCGGAATCCCAGACTCAGTTCAGCAGCAGGGAGTCTCTCCCCTGGCCAAGAAACCCCTGGGATCCGTCTCGGTTGCATTTTCACAGGAGGGTTACGCAGCACTGGTAGCGAGCAGCAACACAAGCAGGAGCTCATCCCGCTGCCTCGCTCCCGTGCGTCACCCCAAAAGCCTCAATTTTGGGGAGGTCCACAAAGCAGCAGCTCAGCAGGCTCAACAGCCAGGGGGAAATCACTCCCACATCTTCCCAATCCAACACCAATTCCAACGCCCAGACCACAACCTACCCTCCCATCTCTGACTGCGGGGTGGTTTTGGTGATGACGATGGTCTTGCCCAGCTTGGATTCCAGGTCCACCTTGTAGTCCCGGTGCCGCAGGAGCTCCCTTTTGACAGGCTGGGCCGGTTTGCCTGCAACATAAGCAGAAAACCCAAGTTCTCACCAGGAAAGGTCCAGCTTTACACATCGGATTTCGTGTTGCCCTCGCGAAGAAAAGACCCATGACAAACCTGAGAACTAGATGATTTATTCAGGAATTACTTTTTTTTTTGTCAAGCAAAAAGTTCCCTTTCCTCTTTGTTGTGCTGACCAGAATTAAGATTCTTATAAACATATCAGTAAGGCATCCTCTGCTCATATTTGGGTCACCCTCTAGAATTTTCCTGTTTCCAGAGGCTGATCATTTCCCTCCCTCCACACAAAACAGGCAGACAGAGGCAAAGGTTCTCAGTAATTGCTCTTGGAACAATTATTTTCAACAGCAAGGATCAGAGCAAGCCAGCCTTGCGCTGCTGCTATTTCCCTTTGGGACTTCATTTTTTGCTGCTATCTCCTGCTCAACCTCAGAGGGTTTGGGTGACTCTCTGCCGACAAGCAGAGCTTGCCCAGGGTCAGTACGTTACCCACCATCCTTCTTTTCTCTCTCTTCTGTGAGTCGCTTCTCTGCAAGTTTCTCATATTCGTCTTTGTCCCACTTTCGGCGGAAGTCCAAATTCTTAGTCTGGGAAGGAAATAAAATGTGGATTAACTTTTGTTGTGCAGTTTGACTAGCTATGAGAGACTGGTGGGAGAAACAGAATCATTTGCCTGTGATGCCACAGAAATATATTGAGGTGCTACATTATATTCCTATCTCCTCTGTTTTCACACCCAGAAACTAAGGATACAGCTTAAGAGCATAATCCTCAGCACACTTCTATCTGCTTCTTTCAGAAGAATTTCAAAGCAATGAGCAAAGTCATGAGTTTATCTTGAAAGTTTCCAAGATCATTTGTGTTTCACATTTGAAAACCAGGCACAAACGGGATTTAAAACATCTGATCTAAGGACCTGGACGTGCCACCTGACAAAACACAGCAAAACCATTACCCCTACTCTTTCCGAAGTCAATTCAACGCGAGTTCCAAAAAGAAAGAAAGAAAGAAAAAAAAATTAATCTGTTTGATTAAAATATATGCAGAAGTACTAAGGGACGCATACATCTGTTCTTAAGGACACTGGCAGCATGTGTGGGTATTACAGGAATTCCAGCACTGAGTTTGCTGCTAAACTCCTAGGAAACTTCCCCAATTCCAAATTCCAGGCAAGCAGAGGAAGGAAGAAATTCCGTAAGACTGTCTCTAACCAGCTGTCAAAACAGGGAATGAGGGGACAAACTGCAGGGATGAAGCAACATTCAGTTGAGGCTGGCAATGGAGATGTGCGAAGACTCTTCTTTGTGCAGGGAGCTCTGTCACCACCCATCACATGGGGATTTTACCAATGCTCGAGGGCCAAAGCAGCCTGAAAACAACCCCTTTTCCACCTGCTAGAGCCTCTTCTTGAGGCCTGCGCTTCCTGCAGTAAAAGCTGCAAAGAAAAGGTCCAACCTCACAGCTCCAATACTTCTTTACTTTCTAAAAAAGAGAATTCTCAGGTGATTAGAAAGCTGCGTTTCACTCGCTGCACTAAGTCCCCAGTTTCACACTGAGCATGAAGACGGTTCTGCTTTAAACCACCTCTGGGAAGAAAAGGACCCACAAACACCCACCACCTTCTCCAGGGCAGCCGAACCAGGAATCCAACCACAAGCCAGGGAAAATAAATCCCATTTGAAGCTGCTGCAGCGCAATCATTGAAGGTTTTCTCCTCTGGCACTCCTTCGAATGGAACGAACAACTACTGATAAGAATAAAAACGCCTTGGAGAAACGGAGAGAGATTCTCATTTACTCCCAGAGCTTAGGCGCTTGAAATGTATCATAACAGGTTTTATTAAGCACCCTGCATGAAGGCGAAAGGAATTATCATACAGTGTAAATTAGTGTTTCAGGGTGTTTTTCAGAATCGAGATTCTCCCATGAATTCACTTATTACCACAAATCAAAGCTGGTTGGAGCCCACAGAGGAAAAAATTTGCTCGCTGCTTCACTCTCTGGTTATAACAAAAGGATAATCGTCTTTCATAGATCTTTACCAGCCTCCCCAGGCCAGACACAATGAAACAAATCAAACGCGACCACGAGCGATCGGTGGCACCATTTGAGCTGTTCCTTATCCAAAGGAGCTTCCCTTAACTGGCACAGCGGGAGCAAGGGTGGCTGCAAGGCGCCAAATCCTCATCTGACAACTACTTGGGAGGGGCATTCAGTATTTCCCAAATATGCAATAACAACTAAAGCCTGAGCAGGGCTCCAAAGCCTCCCGTTTGCTGCAGACGTAGCCACGGAACGATCTGCTCAGTACCAGAACCTGTAAAAGAATTCACCAGGCTCCAGTTTGGTGCTGAGCAGCAGGAAGACAAGCGGCTGAACACAAAGTCCGTGCTCCAAAGCACCTCCCAAGGGACATTCCCCCTCTTGCTCTCACTCAGCGTGGCTCAAGAGGCCCCAAGGGATTCAAATATTTGAGAACACGCAGCCCTGACAGCCACCCCGGGCACTGCTGGGGTTGTGCCCAGCGGCCTGGCTCTGCGCTTGGGTTTTACAAACGCGGCGGCAGCAGCAGCACCCAACCTCGACCGGCCCCATGGCCGTCCTGCAGGACGCGCGCGGGCAGAAAGCCCTGGGGCCGCTGAAGCCACCGGGACGAGGGGAGTCCCCGCGGGCCGGGACAGGCGGCGAGAGACCGCGCGCGGGGCAGGAGGGGA